GGGGAGAGAGAGACTCTCAAGCAGACTCCCCGCTGAATGCGGAGCCCAATGCAAGGCTCGATCCATGACCCTGAGATCATGACCTGAGCCAAAACCAAGAGTTCGCTGCTCAACCAGTTGAACTCCCCCCCCCCGCCCCGCCTCAGGCGCCCCCACCAACAGTTTTGAGAGACCTTTTTTGTACTCTGAATTTCCTGTTTCAGGTTGTGAGCCTGTCTTCTAGGAGTGTGTCCATGGCAGGACAATGTGAAGATTTTTCATTATGGAAAAGGTTAACACTCACTTAGTAGCTCTGTATTTAAAAGTGCCTCCCATGTGCCAGGCTTGTGCTAGGATGAGTCAGCCCTAGACCTTGGCCTTCCCGTAGTTTGGGGAGAATCTGGGGTCGTTGTTCTGACAGGAAAGCCCACGGGGCATGTAGGAGGGCAGTTTGGGGAGGTGAGGCCAAAAGGGCTTTGATTACTGAGGAGAAGCCAGTGGTCTTAAAAATCTTTGTACTGTGTTTCTGGTTATGCTTTTTTTTTTTTTTTAAGATTTTATTTATTTATTTGACAAAGAGAGAGAGCACAAGTAGGCGAAGAGGCAGGCAGAGGGAGAAGGAGAAGCAGGTTCCCCGCTGAGCAGAGAGCCCGACGTGGGGCTCGATTCCAGGACCCTCAGATCATGACCTGAGCCAAAGGCAGACGCTTAACCGACTGAGCCACCCAGGCGCCCCTCTGGTTAAGCTTTAAAGAAGGAATGTGGTGGGGCATCTGGGTGGCTCAGTCCGTGAAGCATCTGACTTGATTTCAGCTCAGGTCGTGATCTCAGGGCTGTGAGATCGAGCCCCAAGTTGGGCTCCGTGCTGGGCATCTGCTTAAGATTCTGTCTCTCTCCCTCTTCCTCTGCCCCTTCTCCTCCAAAAAAGAAGGAATGTAGCATAATCCTGAGTTAGACCAAGAAGGACCCCCATCAGCCATGTCTGGAGGATGAGTGAAGCTGGGCCAGGGTTGGGGGGAACAGAAGCCCAACTACAGATGCTTTCTGGGGCCGCTGCTCTAGAGAGGTCTGCCAAGGGAGCTGCGAGTTCCCTTTAGAAGTGTGTAGAGCAGGCTTTCCCTAGTATGTTCCCTGGGAAACTAGACTTTGGGTCCCCCCCATGGAAAGGGTCCCAGTCCAGGTTTGATCTGTGGACGTCTGCATAAGGAATGTCTCCTCTTCCCTCCTTGAAGACTGACAGTGACATCAGCACACCAGAGGCTCTGAGAAAGCCCATCAGTGAGGAGACTTAAAGAAATTTATCCCCACATGGGGTGCCTGGGTGGCTCAGTCGTTAAGCGTCTGCCTTCGGCTCAGGTCATGATCCCAGGGTCCTGGGATCCAGCCCTGCATCGGGCTCCCTGCTCCGCGGGAAGCCTGCTTCTCCCTCTCCCACTCCCCCTGCTTGTGTTCCCTCTCTCGCTGTCTCTCTCTCTCTGTCAAATAAATAAATAAAATCTTAAAAAAAAAAAAATTTATCCCCGCATTTTTCTAAAAACGTGTCTATGGATTCCTTTTTTCTCTGTAGTACTTTGATATATAGAACTGTGCGTGCTGCTTCTTCAGATCTTGTCTTGAAATTTCTGTGGGCAAAGGGTGGTCAGTCACCATAAAAAACATCCTAGTTGCTCTTTAATGTCTGTGCTTCTGTGGGTGCCTTAGGTTTTGGTTTTGGACTCACTTCTTTGTGTTGGTTGAGCACCACCTGTTGACTGTTGAGATATTACAGAAATCTGGGACAGGGATGTGATGCCAGTTGTGTATTCTGAACTCTTACATATTTGTTCTGAGGTTTGACCAAATTTGACGCAAACATCAAGGAAAAGTGAACCATTTCAGCAAGCGAGGAGGAAGGAGAGGAGAAGCCCACACTGCCCCCCTGTCCAGTTTGGTTTCTAGCCCACAGGGCTTGAGCTCTCTTTGCATCTTCCCACCTCTTCATTGTGGGTAGTTGAAGCTGCCCGCGTGACCTAACGTCTTTGAGAAGATGCTCACATCAGCCACTTTTTCTTAAAGCAGGACTGAGGTTCGGTCTGTAGGTAGTAAGCACAGTGGCCAGTTCTTAACAGAACACTGCAGGACGTCAGAGGTTGTTCTCTTCCCTGGAGGTCCCATTCACATGGCAGCCCTTCTGCTTCTGTCGTCCGCGGCCATCTGTGGAGGCGGCAGACACCCTGGCAGGATTCCGCAGGGAAGGGTGGCCTTTGAATCCTGGCTTCAGCATGAGGACGTTGTCAATTACAGAAAAAGTGTCTTTTTTCCCTTTAAGGAAATAGAAAAACAGGGACAGTTTTCTGTTTTGTTTTGTTTTGTTTCCTGGAACCCCCTGCCCAGCTAGATACCAAGTTGCTGGAAGGTCTTACAGAGGAGGGGAAAGAGGGTTGGTTTTGCCAGGTTGTGGGATCTAATCTACTCTGCCGTGTGCCCTGCTCTCCAGCCTGGTGTAAAGTGCCCTGCACGCCTCCCCCCGGCCTCATGCAGGGGCCCTTGACCAGGCGTGTGGTTGCTCACCTCAGGGCCCCCACAGGCAGACAGAAGAGCAGCAGGGGCCCCTCCCTGGCTCGGGGTTGAGCCCGTTTCCTCATCCTCCAGGCGGTAGCTAAGATGTTACCTCCTCCAGAAAGCCTCCCCTGACTACTCCGACTGGGTTGGTTATACACCTCTACGCTCCCACAGCCCTGTGCTCTTCTTTGTGACCCTCAGCGCCTGATGTGCTCCACAGGGCCGGGGCCTCATGTGCCCCATCTGTTCCTTTCCTCCCTTTGTAGCGTCCATCCCTTGTCCAATGTGTGAATGAGACCCAGTCCCTGCCTTCAAAGCGCTTAGACAGGGCTGCCCTCTGCCCCGGTCTTTGTTCACTGGTGTATCGAGGGTGGAACCACGGGTGTCAGCTTTTTCCTCCCCTGGAGGAGGAAGGGCCACATGACAGTGGTGGCAAACACAAAAGGACTTGGCAAGTCAGGAGGTGTTAAAATTCAGGCCTTTCGGGGCGCCTGGGTGGCTCAGTTGGTTAAGCGACTGCCTTCGGCTCAGGTCATGATCCTGGAGTCCCGGAATCGAGTCCCGCATCGGGCTCCCTGCTCAGCAGGGAGTCTGCTTCTCCCTCTGACCCTCTTCCCTCTCGTGCTCTCTATCTCTCATTCTCTCTCTCTCTCAAATAATTAAATAAAATCTTAAAAAAAAATAAAATAAAATTCAGGCCTTTCAGTAATAACTTAAGTCCAGATAATTGAGATGGTTATGAATACCTTAAATTTATATTTGGCTATAGGGTTTACCAGTTATATGTGTCTAAGTGTATATGTGTACATACATACATACACACTGTCTCTCATTTAATCCTTATTAAAACACTCAGGAGGAGATGGTATTATCCTGAGTTTACCCAGGAAACTGGGTGTCAGACAAGCTACCTGACTGCAAAAGCCAGTGCTCATGCCGTGCAGCAGAGGCTCGAGACCTAGCCGTTGGCTACTGAGGCTGAGTGAAAGCGAACCACTTGGAGGTGGGTTAGGAGTACCTTTGGGCTGGGCAGAGATGGCAAGGAAGGTGACTGACACGTTGGAAACGTCCAGCCCTTTGAGCTGAGACTGCTGCTGTCTGTCTGTCCCTCAGAGTCTACGAGGGCGTCCTGTGACATTTTCTCTCTGGGGGTCATGGCCTTCTGGCCTGTGTGATCCAAAGCCTGGCTTGCTGGGTTGGGTGTGAGAGGCACGAGGTCTTGCCAGGTGCCCAGCCAGGGGCTTTGCTTTTTAAGCCAGGTTCTCAGGTTCAGGTAGGGTTTACTGCTTGGGTGCTAGTCTTTGGAGACCGGTTGTTATTCTTCACGAGGTCTCTGAGCGGCTTTGCAGAAGAGGCAGGGCTGTGGCTCACAGCCAGGTAGAACCACCAGAGCCCCCTAGAGTGTGGACTAAAGATCATGCCTTGTCCATCTCCAGCCTTCTGTAAAAGGGAACCCTGTGTCAGCCGCCCAGAGGTGCCTTCTGACAGCACTTGGCAAACTAGACTCTCTGAGAAGCCTGTGCCACTGGGGAGTGCTCCTCGCCTGCTGGTGGCTGGGGTACAAGGGCTCCTTAACTCATCCAGAGAATTATTCCCAGGCCCTGCTATGTCCCACGGTCTGTGCTAGGTGTTTAGGGTGATGACACCTAACGGGCCTTCCCCTTGGCAAGCCGCAGGGTACTGCGTGCGGCTGTGGGTGTGGACACTGCTCCGTGGAGGGTGGCTGAATGCCGCCTTTGAGTTTGAATGGTGCTCAGGGAACCCTGAAGGAGTCGTCAGCAGCCTGGGGGAGGCCAGTGCCAGCATGGAGGAGATGGTGTTGGAGCAGGGGGCAGAAGGAGGTCCACGAAGAGTGAGGTCCATGAAGAGTGAGGACCATGTGTGCACAGGTCGAGGCAGGAGAGGGTCGCGCAGGCTCGGAGGCCAGTGGGGCATTTGTGTGCCTGCATTGTAAATGCCTCTTGGGGGCTGGTGGCAAAGAAGGTGGCCCAGGGTAAAGGAGCTTGGCTTTCGTTTATTTGCCAGCAGATTTCTTTCTTTCCTCCCTCCCTGCCCCCCACTTTATTGGGTTGTAATTGACATACAACATTGCATAAGTTGAAGTAAGGTATACAACGTGATGATCTGATATATTGAAAAATCAAAAGACTTTTAACTTTTAATTATGGAAAATTTAAAAGACAGGTGAATGTCGACAGACTAAGACAGTGAACCCGTGTGCCAACACCTACCAACGCGTGGCCAGTCCTGTCCCCTGTGTGTGCTGACTCTGCCACCACCCCCACCGCCACCTCCCCCTTCCCTACTGCCGATCACTTGGAAGAAATCCCAAAGTGACACGTGCCTTTTGTCAGACCTAGCCTGTGGCTTGTAATGGATTAATCCAGAATTTTCAGGCCTGGAGTGAGTGGGTGACACTTTTCGATTTCATTTCATTTTCAGAGAAACCACTAAGTTTCCCTTCTTTGTCTTCCTTTCAGTGGGAAGTTGGTGTCTCCGAAGTGGAAGAATTTCAAGGGCCTGAAGCTCCAGTGGAGAGACAAGATCCGGCTCAATAATGCCATCTGGCGGGCGTGGTACATGCAGTGTGAGTGGTACACAGGCTTCCAGCAGGAGGGGCCTGTGGGGGCCCCGAGGCCTTGTGGTGGGCAGGACCTCCAGGTTCTAGCACCTGGAGGCCTTTGCACCTTGGGGCCCAGAGCCCACTTTTCAAACATTATGCCTCAAAGGGAAGCCTCTCTTGGGCAGTCTGCAACAATAGGAAAACCAAGCCAAATCCTAATGAACTGGATACTTCTCAAGTGTCGGGCACAGGGGGCCAGTCACATGATCTGTGTCGTGTAGTTGCCTGTAATCTGCAGGAGACAGATGTGTTCGCCCAGGGTTCATAGCGTAATGTGCTATTAGGTTAGATGCTTGGGCCCAGCGTTGTAAAGGCAGAGGAGGGAGGGCTTAGGAGGGCTTAGTTCTTTCCAGGGGAGTCAAGGAGGTTGTAGCAGAGAGGTGATATTTGAAGAGTCAGGGAACAGTTCCTATTTTCAGCAGATCGAAGAAGATACAGACGCAGGCCTTGTTCATTCTCTAGCTGGCTTCATGCCGGTAGATCCGGTGACCTTTGCAGGAGATCAGCGTGCTTGGGCATGCTTGGGTTAGGCTGGCATTTCTTTTGATAAGCCAGACTCCCATTCTTACCCATGAGTTACTGACAGATTCTTTTCCTTTATTCTCTGAAATCTCATTTTCAGGGGAAGGAGAAGAACACTTGGGAGGGTCCCACCCTGAGGGGGATGTGGACAGAGGGGGCAGGGACTCCTTCAGGGGTCTTGGTCATAGTGATGACGTCTCATCCTTTCTCTGCCCAGATTTGGAGAAGCGCAAGAATCCCGTGTGCCATTTTGTCACTCCACTAGATGGCTCTGTTGAAGTAGATGAGCATCGCAGGCCAGAGGTACTTGGCTGGTGACCATCAGTAGCTGGAAAGGATCTGCCCTCATCAGGAGGAAGCGACTCTCCCAAGGCCGGGAGCAGGGGTTGGATTCCACAGCAGCAGGGGTGGGGTAGGGAGAAGGACCATGTGACCTCTCAAAGATGAAGTTGTGACAGACCACAGAGGCTCCCCTCTTCTCGGGCTGGGCTGACCCAAGCGCTGAGGGGTTCTCCCATTGGGACTTACTTTCCACTTTCCCTTAACATTGGCGTTTTTCTGGAAGTCAGTAGGGAGGGATCTGGGCTCCTTACAAGGCAGATATCTTTAACAGTTAAAGAACGGCCTCAAGATCTTTATATGCTGAGATGATAAGATGCTGAAGAAATAGTAAATGAAAAAAAAAAAAGCAAGTTGTGCAACAGTGTTTCAGTAACTTTATGTTAATTTTTTAAAAAGTGTGTATCTGTGTGATTGTGTGTAGGAAAAGTCTAGAAGGAGGTACAGAAATCCTTTATTGGTGGCTACCTCTGGGGAGGGGGATTAGAGTGAGGTGGATACCCTTATACCCTTCTGCGTTGTTTTAATGTTACCCAAGCATGTCTCGAGGTTGGGATAAAAGGGGGAACAATTAGAAAGGAACCCAGTGAAAGACCCTTTTGAGTGGTGGGATGTGATCTGGTATTGGACAATATTAAGGAATACCATTTTGTTGGTCTGGTGATAATACTGTATTGTTCACCGTGAAGATTCTTTACCGTCAGATACACAATGAAGTGTTTGTAGGTGAAATTATATGGGCCTTGTGATATCTGGGACTGGCTTCTATATACTCCGGCCATAAACAAAAAGGAACCTGAAAGTGAGGCAGGCTCTCTGAGGAGGGCGTGACTTCTTCGTCACCAGAGTTCTTCAGGGATATGTGGAAGGGGCTCACCTGCGTGATGGGAAGGTTGAAGCAGCTACTCTTGGAAATCACTTTCCACCTAAAACTTCTGTGATTGGCCATTTGTTTTCACCCTTTGAAAACGTGGCAGAGTCTCCTGGATAAGGGCATTTAGTGCTACCCCTGGCTCTCTGTAGGGCTTTTTCAGTGCCTGGGTGGAGGGCCCTCTCCCTCTTCCCTGCCCGAGCACTCTCTGACCCGTGTCCAATCCAGACCCTTGGGACTAGTGCCACCAAAGTCGCAACTCGGTTATCTGAGGTCACGAAGTAAAAGCCCATCTCTAGGGTGGAGGCTAGTTGTAGCACAGAAGAGGTAGGACGCACTTTGTGAATGAAGCTGTATGCGTGTGGGAGGGTTCTCTGAGCTGGATTCCCCGAGCTGACTGCCATTGTCAGACGCATCTTTATTTTCAGGTCGAGTTCTGCCAGTCCAACTAGATTGCCCTCTTTTGATTCTGACCCGCATTCTCTTCACAGGCCATCACCACAGAAGGGAAGTACTGGAAAAGCCGCATTGAGATCGTGATCCGGGAGTATCACAAGTGGAGAACCTACTTCAAGAAAAGGGTATCTGGTTTGGGCTCCAAGAACAGCATGTTCAGGAAGCCCCATAGGGGAGGGAGGATCTAAGTCTATGTTCAGACACCGGCCCCCGAGCTGTGGGTCCATCGCTGCCCCCGTGGAACCCAGTGTTCCAGCCAAGCCCAGGTGATGGGCCTGCTTTGGCCGTGTTTTTTGTGGTCTCAGTTCCTCCTGCTGCTAGTTATTCTACAAACACTGGTTGAGAATCTCTTCTGTGCCCAGCATGGGCCTGGGAATGGCAGAGAGCAGGATCCCCTCATGCACCTTCCAGGGAGAAGAGGCCTAGATGCTTCCCGGAGGAGCATCATCCCCTCCCAGGACCCTGGGTGACCACCGTGTCTCCCCTTTTCTCCACAGCTACAGCAGCACAAGGATGAGGACCTTTCCAGCCTGGCCCAGGTGAGTGAGCTTGGGGGCTGGGAGGACCCTCATGGGAACCCTCCTTTGACAAGAAACAGCAGTGACGTGGGTGGCCCGACAGTGAAGCCTGCCGCACCTACCTTCCTGCAGCTCCAGGAGGGGCCGCCCCCCTCCTCACACGGAGGACATGCAGACTAAGGAAACAGGCCAGTTCTCCCTGCTCCACGCACTCCCCTCCTCTTTTACAACAGCCCTTGCAGCTCTATACAGTAGGGTAACATACTCCCCTGGCATGATGTGATTGGGAATTCTGAGTTCACTAGTGCCCCTCTGACTTTTCCTCCTCCCTCTGTTGGCGGTAGGACGATGACATGCTTTATTGGCACAAACGTGGGGATGGATGGAAGACCCCAGTCCCCATGGAGGAGGACCCACTGCTGGACACAGACATGCTCATGTCGGAATTCAGCGACACCCTCTTCTCAACACTTTCCTCACACCAGCCGGTGGCCTGGCCCAACCCCCGGGAAATAGGTAACCCACCTCTAGATCCTTGACTTTGAAAACACAGGTTTCCTTCTCTGCCAGTGCCCCCCCCAACCTGGCCCGCCAGGGCAGGATTGGCCAACCTCGCTGGCATCTGAGGGCCACGTGCACTGAGTGGGTGGGGACTGCAAACGGACCTTCCTGAACAGCTGTCAGGGCCATGGTGCCCCTGAGAGAAGACTGGGTATTTGGTCTGAATCAATTTCACATTTCTGATGCTGTCCCCAAGTGATGGGGCCTTTGACTGGGAAGAAAATTAGAAGCATTCCTGGACATGACCTTTTACCTGGCCGCATTCAGGCATCCAGTTAACACCTCAGGGAAGAGCCCACAGACTAGCAGTGAGAACTGGGGATCTCTGCATCCTGGGAGTGTCTGTTTCCTGATACTTCACTTTTCTTATAAAAACTCTCTTTTTTTCCTTTCCTGCCTTCTGAGGGTGGAGAATAGCCACAAACCCACAAGAAGGTAGAAATTCCAGCCAGCCGCCTGCACTTCTCCTTGGAAGAATCTAGAATGTGAACAGGGCCAGGAGGATCCATTCCAGGCCTTTTATGTGTTTCTGCAACATTATTTGAGAAGGCAGAATGATTCCTCTGTCTCCTTTCTGATTCTTACAGCACATCTGGGAAATGCAGACATGATCCAGCCGGGGCTGATTCCTCTGCAGCCCAACCTGGACTTCATGGACACTTTCGAACCCTTCCAGGGTGAGGACATGGGGCAGGGAGAGAGCATGGCTGCCTGGATCTATCTCCCTTTGCCCAGGATAAAGCACACTGGTGCTTCCCTTCATTAGAGTTTGCATGGGCAAGGGGGAGGACTTAGAATTTTTCCAGAACTACCTTTTTTTTTTTTTTTGGTAGTAGCAAGGTTTGGGAAGCTTTTCTGCCACAGGGTTCTCTCACTCCTGCAGTCTCAGATCCTCAGGTTTGCCCAGGACCGTAAGCAGTTCTCCCTGTAGGCAGCAGAGGGCGCTGGCAACACAGCCACCTCCCTGCAGTGTCCTGCAGTTAGAACTGGGCTCATAAGAGCCGCCAAACACCAGGCTTGGGAGTATTTCAGACCCCACACTAGTTGCCAGCATGAGTGGTTCCGATCAGAGGGCCTCTTTCTGCAGAGTTGCTTCAGGGGGGAGCGCCCTCTGTCCATGGCATTCCTCTGGGTAAGATGGGGTTCAGTGCCCTATTCATTTGGATCTTAATTCAAGGATATGATAGGCACACAGAGCTCAGAAGTGCCCGATGTTGTCTTTCAGACCTCTTCTCTTCCAGCCGCTCCATTTTTGGTTCCATGCTGCCTGCTCCTGTCTCAGCACCTGCACCAGATCCCAACAGTCCACCTGCTCAGGTAGAGGGAGCTGGGGAGAGGTGGCCAGGGCTAGGCCAATGAATAACCGTGCAGTCATAAGCAAAGTGCTAGGGCTTGCTAGATCTAGTGCTGAACACACAAATAATGCATAAAGACGTTATTCTAGCCCTCCTTGAAAGCAGCCATAGATCTCCAAGAGGTGGGAGCTCTCGGTAAGCCCGTGCTCCTGCCTAAGGCTCCATGTAACCTGTGTGCGGCGAACTCTGTTCTAACCAGTTAAGAGAGGATCAGCAAAGGAAAACACGGATCACTAATAAAAAGTTCCATGTATTTCTTTTGCTTCCTATGTAACAATTAACACAAGTTGGTTATCAGCTGCTGGGGTTGCAGAGCTGAGTGAGGCACGGCTCTTTGCCCTTAGGGGCTCTCAGGCTGGTACCCATATCTAGTTAGACACCAGAAACCCTGGCCCCATCTTCTTCCATCTGGCTCTGGGAAGAATTTCTTCTATAGAGACCGAGGTCTTGACAATTGATTCCTTAGAGCGTTTCCCTTTTAGGAAGAGGTGACCTCTAGAAGTTGATACATGAAACTGTCCTGAGGGAACCCCTTGAGCAGCTGTGCACCAGGCTGCCTGTGTTCTGTAACAGAAGATGGCCAGGACTTTGGGGGGACCCCTGCTGGACTCTAGAAACAAGATATTCCCAGGCCTAGAGCCAACTGTGTGCAGACAGTCACTTTGTCCGAGCTCTGTGTTATCATTTAGTCCCTAATGGAAACAAGACCCCTGCGGACTCCTGGAGAGACACAGCTCCATTCCCCCCAGATTAGCGGGAATGGGGACAGGCGCCATCGCCTTGTCCCTCTGTCTGAAGGTTCTGCTCAGGTGCCCAGTGTACGTTGTTGGACTTTGTGGTGTGTTGTACCGGGAAGTGACAGCAAGTTGTGTGATCCAGCATTTGTCCTTCCTTTCTTAGGAGAGCATCCTGTCCGCCACCACTCTCCCCACCGTGAGCCTCCCTGATGGCCTCATAGCACCTCCTGCAGCCACCACCCTCGACCCCACGGACAGGCAGGGCTGTGAACGAGATCCCCGGCCTGGAGACCCCTTTATCCAGCCCACAGACTTCGGTCCTCCTGCACCGTCGCTGAATGTCCCTCAGCCTTTCCTCCCCGTGTTCACCATGCCCTTGCTGTCTCCCAGCCCTGCCCCAGCACCTGCTTCTCCTGCCCTGCCTTTAGCCCCACCACCCCCTGCCCCTGCCTTGAGCCCCTCGGCTCCATCTACCTTCCTACAGCCGAAGTTTGCTGGAGCCAGCAAGTCACCCTCCGTCATCACACACACGGCCTCTGCCACCCTCACCCATGATGCGTCTGCCACCACCTTCAGCCAGAGCCAGGGCCTTGTCATCACAACCCACCATCCCACGCCCTCAGTGTCCCCCTGTGGCCTGGCACTCCCTCCGGTCACTCGGCCGCCAACTGCCGGACCTCCCCAACCCTGTTTAACTTTTGTGCACCCCAAACCTGTCTCTTTGACTGGGGGGAGGCCCAAACAGCCCCCCAAAATAGTGCCTGCTCCCAAACCGGAGTCTGTGTCCGTGGTATTGAAGAATGCTTGCATTGCCCCAGGTGAGTCAGGTGGAGGGAAGCCAGAGTCTAATCTCCCCTTCCTGAGGGACATTTCCCTGTCCCCAAGGCTTGCAAACTTGCGACTCACCCACACTGGTGAAACAAAAGGGTTCCAGTCTACCACATGTGTGTGATCTAGTCTGTTGTCTACTTTGTGGTCTTCTTTTCAAATTAGTCTCAACCCAGTTTGAAAAAGCATGGTTCAGGTGATCTCTTTCCTGGGTCTGTAATCTGTCCCCTTCAAGGAGAAGTTGCAAAACAAATGTCAGGTACCCCGGTGGTTTTGTCTCTCCGTGCCCTGCGGTGAGGAAGGCAACGTGTGAGCAGCAGGAGAGGGGTCTGCACTGCTCCTGGGGAGCCCTACAGAGCCTGGGCTCAGCAACAGTAGGGTCAGAAGCAGGCCCCCACGGCCCCGGGCCTCACCCTCACCTTCTTGTTCTCGCAGCTGCCTTTTCAGGACAACCGCAAGCCGTGATTATGACATCAGGCCCTCTGAAGAGAGAAGGGATGTTGGCTTCTACCGTGTCGCAGTCCAGTGTGGTCCTTACGCCTGCTGCCATTGCCCGGGTGAGGGGGCCCTAGACAGACCCTCCGTGTCCTTGTCACCCCAGCATGGCCCTGCTCTCGGGTGGTCCTCACCTGACATGACTCTGGTCGGGGGTGATCTCTGTCTCCTGTGTCACCTCAGGCTCCTGGAGTTACGGAGTTCCACAGTGGCATCCTGGTGACAGACCTTGGCCACACCACGAGCAGCCAGCCAGCCCCTGTCTCTCGGCTCTTCTCTCCAAGCGCCGTGCAAGACTCCCTGGTGAAGGGCGAGCAGGTCCCTGCCACGGGTTCCAGTGAGTGTGCGCTCCAGTCTGAATGGTTGGGACTTCGTGAGTAAAATGAGCATGCCCATACCTGGGTCAGGGAGACTGCCCGTGGGGTTCCCCGGGATTGAGGCTGGACTTACAGGATGTGCAGTGAGGTCTTAGAAGCCTAGTGGCCCACGCTGGAAGTGCTCAGTGTAGTGCCAGATCATCCACAGTAGCAGGAAAGTGGCAAGCGTGTGCGGGGCAGGCACCTAATGCACTTGGGGAACACCACTCTGACCTCTTTCATAAAGGCCTGGCTCTGAGCTACCAGTTCTGATCCAGACAAGGGATTGAGGCTGTCAGCGCTTTCCAGAAAATGGAAACCACCCAGGCTTGTCTCCACATCAACGTGGTCATCCCTTAGTTTTCAAGCACCTCACATCATTGAGCCCATTTCCACACCGTGGGCCTTCCATTGGCAGGACTATCGGGGGAGAACTGATTTTGCCCAGTGAAGAGCCATGAAGCCAGGAATAAAGGATTTGCCCGAGGTTGTGTGCGCCCCTGGCGGTGGGGGTAGAACCAGAACCTAGGCTTCCTCCTTTCAGATGCCCCATCTGGGAGGGAGACCAAAGGTGCCTTGTCTCAAATAAAACCTGGGCATGGTTGCTCCTGGAGCTCTATGGTAAACAGTTGTCTTCCCTGAACAGTCAGGAAGACCTGAGGAGGAAAGATCTCTGCCTACAGAGATCAGACAGTAGAGGGACTTGTCCAAGGAGGCCGGACGAATAAGGGCCTCCAGTCTGGAAAGCTAAAGATGAAGACTAGTTACGAGTCAGGCCCCTACAGTGGTGTAAGTTAGGGCTCAGGTAGCCTAGTGTTACCCTGTCTGCTGAGGCGCAGAACACTGGGTGTTGGAGCTGCATGGGGAAACTGAGCAGCAGGGCAGGGAGGTGGGCAGCGCCACAGAAAGGAGTGCACTGAGGCTCTCTAGGCAGGCAGGTGGGGCAGCCCCAGAGGTTCTGGGGGCCTCCTGAGAGATGCCAGTGACCAGGGCATGGCTGGTGTGGAGTGAGCGAGATTGAAAATACAAGAAAATGTATATGTAGAGTTGAAGGAACAAAAATAAACAGATACGTGTACTTGACACACAGGGTAAGAACTAGAGCCTCGCAGAGGCTGCGGAAACCGCAGGTGGCCCCCACGAGGCTTGTTAGTAAGCTGGGTTAGCAGTTAGGCCTCCTCTCAAAACTCTCCGTGTCCCCAAGACCTGTGGCTGGCCAAGCTCAGGCCATGTTCCTACCCCACGTCCAGCCAGCCTTCATCAGGCCTTGTCCACACCTAACAGAACCCTCCTTGGGATGTTGGCAAGGATTTCTCCAGTTTTTGCTCTGGGGTCGCTGTGGGAGGTTCCGGATGGGTTTCCAGGGTTTGGGACTTGTGGGGCTTCCCTTACTGGGTGAGCTGCCGCCAGCCATGTCCTAAGAGGAGTCTCTGTTCTTCTCAGGTCGAGATTGCCCAAACTCAGGGCAGGCCTCTCCATGTGCTTCAGAGCAGAGCCCTAGTCCCCAGTCTCCCCAGAACAACTGCTCAGGGAAATCGGCAGACCCCAAAAATGTGGCTGCTTTAAAGGTATCACAGGTCTCTCTTGGGTCTTGATTTCCTTGGAGGGATGGGGGGAGGGCACGGAGGAGAATATCAAGGGACCGTTGGGGCAGCTGCGTCCCTTACTAAGGACACACAGGAAAGGAGCAGCACAGACCCGGCTGGTGTTCCAGCAGGCTAGGGTAGCATCAGGAACCTGGATGTTTGCTACTTAATCTGGAGATAAGGTCGGCTCCTCCCATTCCCCCACCTGCTAGCCGGCCCTGAGCCCCGGAACCAGCCCTGAACCCCGTAGCATGCGGGAGACGGCGGCTGGAAGAACTGGGTCAGCGGAGGAGTGGGCCGAGGGTGGCTGGGAAAGGCTGATCAGCAGTGGTCACGGCCCCTGCCGAGGGCCTCCACTCAGCAGGCAGGGTTTTCCAGCAACCCTGTCCTGCCCCCTCACGGCTCCTGTCGCCCCTCCTTCCACTTACTCTCTAGCCCCTGAGCCGCAGGTTGGGAGGGCGGGGCGGTGGCCCTGTGGTGCACCCTGTGTCACAGCGACCACTCGATTCCCCAACAGAACCGGCAGATGAAGCATATTTCAGCTGAGCAGAAAAGGCGCTTCAACATCAAGATGGGCTTTGACACCCTCAACAGTTTGATCTCTAATAATTCCAAGCTGGTGAGTGGTGTCGGATGGGCGGGGAGCCCCTGTGTTGGCCTCGGCACCGGCTAGCCAGGCAGGGTCGCCGTGGCTGCCGTGGTTTGACCCTGCCGCCCCTGTCCCAGACCAGCCACGCCATCACACTGCAGAAGACCGTGGAGTACATCACCAAGCTGCAGCAGGAGCGGGGCCAGATGCAGGAAGAAGCCCGGCGGCTGCGGGAGGAGATCGAGGAGCTCAACGCCACCATCATGTGAGGCTGCAGGGGTGGGGCCCGGGGCTGGTGCCTCATCCTCCCAAGTGCGTGTCCCAGAGGCAGGAGGGTCCTTTGGGCTTTTGTCATCCTCCTCCTCCTGAGGCCTCCCCTCTTGGGCCCGCAGTGACCAGCGGCAGCTGGCCCTGCCCACTTGGCGCCTCAGGGTCCAGCTTCATCGCTGGCCGCTCTGAGCTTCCTCTGATTCTTCCTGTCGTTGCAGCTCCTGCCAGCAACTGCTTCCTGCCACGGGAGTGCCCGTCACCCGGCACCAATTCGATCACATGAGGGACATGTTTGATGAGTATGTGAAGAGCCGGACCCTACAGAATTGGAAGTTCTGGATTGTATCTTTGGGTTTGCTTTGCTTCTCCCGCCCCCCACAAATGGTTGCTGTTGAGTTCATCCAACAGGCAGTGCTGGTTTCTGCCTCGGTCCAGGGGCCTGGCCTGGCCCGTGGTGGGAAGGGGGGCTATTGTTGGTGACCATCCAGGCTCAGGGCTTCCTGGGGAAGCAGAACAGATCAACTTTGCTCTCTCCGTGCTTGGGAAATAAAGATGGTTTATCGCGAGGTGCCAGAGCCACCTGCTGAGGCGATGCTGTAGGAAGGAGGTAGGATCTAATCCGACACATCCTGGCGGCCATCTCCGGGGAGGGGCGAGTACTGCCCCGTGAGATAGATGGGAAACCAGGGCTCATAAATCACTAAGCGGCAGAGTCAGGATTTGAAACCAGCTCCCTGCAGGTTGTTGTCTGCGTTTGGGCCACATGGTCTTCGATGCTGTTATGAGGCACGTACATCTGCGTGCTGGGGTCCATCTCTGGGGCCAAAGCCCGCCTGCGCTCAGCCTTCCAGATATCAGCAGGGCCCCTCTGGGGGACAGCCCCTGCCTTGTCCGTCCCCTTTCAGCCACCTCTCTGCCTCAGACAATCTACACACATGGTAGGTTGGCCATGTGTCTTCACCTTCTTGCTGACAGACTGAAGAGACAGCCGTTTAGGAGCAGAGGATTTTATCTGTTTGCACTCTAATGGCTGGTTTTGAAGAGAGGGATGACAGACCAGACAGCAGCTCTGTTGCCTCTGCTCTGCCCGGCTTTCCCAGCCTGGCTCTGGCCCTTAGCACTGATGGAGGTGGCCCGGCTTACCCAGCCTGGCTCTGGCCCTTAGCACTGATGGAGGTGGCCCGGCTTACCCAACCTGGCTCTGGCCCTTAGCACTGATGGAGGTGGCCCGGCTTACTCAGCCTGGCTCTGGCCCTTAGCACTGATGGGGGCGGCAGCTGGGATGAGCCAGGACCTCTTTGGTAAAGTGGCACATTCATCATCAGCCTCAGCTCGGGGGCCCTGGGCACAACCGTGGCTCAGATCAGGGAGAAAATGGACCTCATGCTTTTGCGGATTTGCTTGCCTAGGATGGTTTGGGAGACCCGCACAGAATGTGACTAAGAGCCAGCGCGTGTGTTTATCACAAAAGACAGATCTCCTCCATCTCTAGACAGCTTCTATTTTGTGGTCTGCCGTGTGCTTCTGCTCTTCTTGCAGGTATCCATAGACCGCTGGCTTTCATGTCAGGGTGCTCGGACCTGTTCCACACTGAGGAAACGTCTGTGTCCCTCCCTGCCTCCGGCCTGCTCAGTGGTCATTAACCTGTTGCTCAGTTAGAGTTAGATGGAAAGATTTCAGGGGAATGTGAGGGTGCATCTTATCTAGATCACACTCCCTCATCAACTGTACGTGGTTACTTGTCGTCCCTGGGGAAGTTGGTCACGGGCAAGACCGTAGCTGGACTTTATTCTCCTCACCCCCGGTTACATGTCTGCCGGCCTCCTCCTTGCTTATCTTTTCTTTAACCCACGTGCCGTGCAGTTCAGTATCATTATCAAGCCGCTGTTTGAGTCCTTCAAGGGGATGGTGTCCACCAGCAGCCTGGAAGAGCTGCACCGGACGGCGCTGTCCTGGCTGGACCAGCACTGCTCCCTGCCCGTCCTCAGGCCAAGTGAGTCGGGGGCTACGCAGGGGCCGCGGCATCACGGGGGCTCGCCAAACCCTTGAGGATAGTCCCAGGGAGAGGAGGGCCTTTGCAGACAGTGCCGTGGCAGGTCCAGGCGCCCCCACGAGCAGCTGCGTCAGCAGGAGGCCCCGGCCAGAGAGGCCGGCTGCGGGACAGGGGCGTGGCCCCTAGCGCCTCTCCTTTACTTCCTGTCATCGCCGTGCATCCATGTGCTCAGGTCCGCCTTGCGTTTATTGAGCACCTACTGTTCACCAGGCCCTGTACTTCCAGATGTTTTCTGGTTTAATTCTTAGAACTAACAAGGCTGCGCCCTTATACTGAGGTTATAGAGGTGGACAAACGGGAAGAGCTTGGGGTTCCCTGCTTGTCTGCAGGAGAGGAGACGGGATTTGCAGTTACCCTAGGGGCAGAGAGGCTTTGCCGGCATCTGTCCCTCAGTGGCGCTCTCCTTCGGTGACATGAGAATTACCACACGGGTTTGCGCGGAAGAGCGCGTGTGCTGTCCACGGTGGGACCTGAAGCGGCCGTGTGTGCCTGTGCCCCTGGGCTAACCTCCCCCTTTCTTCCAGCGGTGCTGCACACCCTCCGGCACCTGAGCACCACCACCTCCGTTCTGACAGACCCGTCCCAGCTGCCAGAGCAGGCGGCAGAGGCCGTCACCGGAATCGGCAAGAGATCGGGGGAGTCTTAGTGGCACCTGGCGGGCACGTGGCCGTGCAAGATGCCATGGAGGCTCTTCCCTGCCCGCGGAGAGGGTGCTGCACCCCATGCCTCTCCTGACGCAGAGCTCAGGGCCCCCCTCCAACTCCACCGGCCCACTGGGCCACTCAGAACACTGCGCTCAGGTCTGAAGCAGGTTCGGGTCCTGCCGACAGCAACAGCCCGTCTTTGGGAGCCCCTTGCTGTGAACTCTTACTCATCGACCTCAGTTGTGAACTCCCCTGCCCTCAGGCAACCCAGACAAAGTCCCGTCCTGCTGGTGGTCGGCCGGGCCCCTGGTGCCTGAGCAGGGAGTAGAGGGGACAAATGGGGCACGGCCTGCTCCTGGGAGCTGGGAAGCATAAGGGTTCCTCTTCGGTTCTGTCCTCAGACTTCTGGATGTTCGCTCCTGTCGCCCCTGGGCACTCGGATGGCGCTGCTCTGACTCTCCTGGGGGGCAGGTGGAAGGCACTTCCCTTCCTCCCTCAGACTCTGACCTTGTAAGTAGGTTTGGACAGCTGCTCCCACCACACAGGCCGCCAGGGAACCCCGGAACCCGCGTGCGGAAGCGGTGGGTGTGCACGCTCGCGGCGCGAGAAGGATCGCACATCAAGGCGAAGCTGCTGCTCTGGCTCGGAGACCCCTCGGGCGGCGCCGCGGGCGGCCTCGTTCTGTTCTGCCGGTGCTGCGGCAGCCACCGTCGGTGGCTTGAGAACCGTGGTGGGGACTCCGGCGGGGCCTCACTGGGCGCCACCTCACCGCATGGCCCTTGTTCTCCACCTTCCTCCAAGCCGCAGCCTGGGATGAGCCAGCAGCCTTGGGTGCATGCTCGCAGCCCTGAGAGCGTGGCGTTTGAGAGGCCAGACTCCACGGTGCTGCCATGGGTCTGTCGCCTTGCCTGGATGGTTCAGCTGGGAGCCCCAAACCATAACAGTTCTCGGACCAAAGATGTCACCACACCCAAAGTCTGTCCTGTGTTGTGTTTGGAGGAAGAAATTGAATGTTGATGGGCAGCCCTCTGAGGCAGGCAGCCTCAGAGCTGTCTCTGGGCATCTTCCAGATCATACGGTGAAGAGTTACACTCATGTTTGTTTAAGGTGGAGGGATATCTGGAGGCAGCGGCCTGCTTCTGAACATGGAATTGCATTCGGGGTGTCCAGGCCCATCCTCTTGCTCTATGTGCAAGAGGAGCTGCAGATGGAAGGGCGGGTGCTCTCTCTAACACTCAGGAAGCCCAGCCAAGGGTACCTCCTCGTTGAAAGAATGTGCTTTTAACGTCCTGCTGTGAAGTTCAGAGGCTCAGTGGACTTTCCATTCAATCTCTGTCCTCCCTGCCAGAGATGGAGCCTGCGCAGTGCTAGGCAAGGCTGGAAATGCTGGGGTAGGCTCTAGGGGGGGCGCTACTGAGGGCAACCTCCTGCAGCTTGGACCCATTTGGAGGCTCCCGCGGGTTCCTGGAGGCCTGCTGAAGGTGCTCGGGGGCAGCCAGCCCTGCCTCAGCCTCACTTGATGGAGGATGGCAGGGGTGACGTCTCTCTGCCGCCGGCTGTGCCACCGTCTCTCCTGCAGGTCACCGACCAGTCACCTACTCCCTTGTCTGTGCTTCAGCCCCGCACAAGAGCAGCTTGGCGGCAACCCTCAGTCTCTCCAGAAAACGTGTTTACAAGCCTCCCAGATCACTCCCCTGAGGGGCGAGCACAAGACAAGGCTGGGCTGGTCCTTAATGTCCACTGGGAAATGGTAAGAGAACTCATCCTTCACCCCAGGATAAACTCGGAGTTGCCCTTCCAAAGGGGAAGACCACCATGGTAAGAACTCACTAGGGTCAAAAGGAAAAACACGAGATATCCCCAGGGCTTGTGGGGGGTCATGAGCTCCGTCCCTTCCCCAGTTCCTGTGCCTTTGTAAACCACGTGAGTGGCCGGAATGCTTGGCCCACCAAGACCTCTCCTAAATGAGCAGCCTTCTCCCCACCCGGCGCTGGGAGTCTTTTTTTTTTTTTTTAACTCTGTGGGATATAAAATTGGCCTCTTGCTTCTTCGGCCTACCTCTCCTTCTCTTCCTTTTGCTGAATTAATGTTCATGATTCTGTTTTGTTAAATATTTAAGGCTGTTGGGTCACATGAGACTTTGAAGGGTGTGTGTGTGTGTGTGTGTGTGTGTGTCCTAGCAGACTGTTAATTAGATGCATGTTTTTGTTTTGAGACATTGACTTAAATCCATTTCTCTTGGTGCTCACGATTACCACGGCTATAGGGCCACAAAGCTGTATCTCTTACCACAGACATGTTTCTTGTCCCAGAATCATTTCTTATTTTGGAATCTTGCCCGATGAATCTGGCCAGACAGAGGGGCCCAGCGGGGGCGCAGGGACAGCGAGATCAGCCTGCCAGAGGCCTCCAAGGCGTGCTGCCCACAGGGCTGTGCTTTGTTTACACTCATTTTCACCCCTGCTCCTGCCTCTGCTCCCATAAAAGAAACTTTAAAATGCTGACACTTTGGAGAATAAAAAAAAAAAAAAAAAAATCAATCTGAAAAGGAAAAAAAAAAAAGCCTGTCTGGCACATAAATCTTTGAAAAGCATTTCTGTGAAATCTTTCTGTGCCATCAGCCCCCTTCACACTCCTGCCTGCTCTTTCACGATGAGTGGGAAACGCAGGGACAGGGCAGGTGCCACCGCGGGGCTTTCTGAAAGTTGGCGGGCCCGTCCCTCCCAGCTCAGGCGGGTTACACTGGCAAGTCGCCCCCCCAGGGGGGCCCCAGCCCATGCACCCCCGCTGCTGTCCAGCCGGATTTTCTCACACGAAAGCAAAGGTCCCAGCGTCAGAAGTTAGAGTTAGTGAGGTGCTAGCGGACGTCACTGGCCCTTGTCAGGAGGAAGGACCGAAGGGCAGGGAACCCCCAGCGCCACCCTATTCCTGGAGCCTCCGCAGGAGGAGGGGTGGCCAGTTGTCGCCCATGTGCCCTTGGGCACCCAGCTTCATCCGCTTCCTGCCCTTGTGACCTGACGGTTGGACCGGAAGGTATTCCTGCTCTGGCCGATAGAAATGTAAACTTAGACTGAGCAAGCATGGCCCCCCAGGGTAGTGCCAACCCCCTTTGTCTCGACCCAGGTGAAGGGGTCTGGTGGCAAGTGACCTGAGAACTAGAGGAACGAGGAGCAAGTCCATTGTTTGCAGGATTACAAGCTGGCACGGTCTAGCTGAAGCACATGGCATGGCACTGGGCTGTCCTCGGTGCTCCCTGCCCCATGCCCAGGACCCCCCACAGTTTGATGGATAAGCTGGTCCACTCTCTCCTCTCTCTCTGGTGGAAAGTTGCCTTTCCCTAGAGATGCCCTGCTTCCCATTACGCACCTTGCCAGTGACGAAACCCACCCACCGCTCGTGGGAACTTAGCTTTGCCAAGTGTTCCCTCGGTCATGGTCTCATTGGAGGAGAGAGCTGGGGTGCCCTGGTGTGAGCAACATTGGCAGCCGCAGGCCCGAGTCTTCACCTCGGTGCCCCGATACCGCGTATGTCGAGGATTTTCACCAACGTCTGAACATGCACAAGGGGAGAAGGGGGTTGGAGGGTGGAAGAGCTTGGAAGCTCAACACCTGTTTGTAACTTTCAGTAGTCTCCCTGGCCTTGACCCTCTCGGATCGGAGGGACAGCAAGAGCAGGGAGAAGCCTTAGGACTTAACTGTGTACCTCCAGAAACTGCCCCGTTTTGTTTTCCTTCTGAGGACTTGGCTTTCCTGGCTCATCACGCGGGGGGCTGTTTCCTTGTCGGGGTTTGCGAAAATCAGCCTTTGAGAAAGAAAAGGGAACTTTTCATGTTAAATGTTGGCTTTGATTCAGTGTGTGTGTGTCTTTGTGTGCGCGCACGCATGTGCACGTGCTTGCACAAGCCCGCCTGTGTGTGTTTACTTAATGGAATTTTATTTTTGTGAAATTCCTTCCCAAATATGTAGCAGAATTCACTTCCATCTCCCAGTCAAACTTTTGGTTTCACAGTCAACCCTGGGCACCACTAATTTGAAGAATTGCCTTCTGGGTTTCTAAACAGAGGTGTGCTCCTCCCAAGGCTTGAGATTGTGGAGGGTTTGGGAGAAACGGATACATTTCTGTAGAGTTTGTCCTGCAGTTGAAGGGTATGAAGGGCTCAGCCCAGGGACACACAATTCCTAGACTGTGTTTCTCACAAGGGAGCTTGAACACAGCCTCCCCCCAACAACGCCCTGCTGTTTCTCTACCCGAATCTTCTCAGACGGCCCGCGAAAGGGAACCTTGTTCATCTACTTATTTTGTAACATCACAGCTGAGCCACCACAGCGTTCTCTTCCTTTGCCAGCTTCCAGTTCATTGTGTAAATGGTTTGTTTTTTCTGTTGTGAGCTTTGGTGATTGTGTCATGGCTCCGTTAGGAGACGGTTTCCCCTCGTGGTCCGAACAGCAAAACCTGAGAAGAGCCTTGTTACTCGGAGGCTCCCTCAGGCCTGCACCATCCAGAACACCACCCTTCATGCTCCGCTGTCAAGAAGCACGTTTCCACCAGCTGTATTCAACACTACAATGCAGTTTTAAAACTATATTTGCATCCGAGACAATAAAAAGCTGTATTTTTTTGAAAAGCCTGTGATGTGTGGTCTTAAATGCTGCCGTGTTGGGCTGTGGAAATGATGATACTGGGAGATCGGAACAAAATGATGCTCAGACTGGCTTACTCCTTCCAACCTTGGGCGGTAGCTTCAGCCTGGGGTGAAGGCTTGGGGGAGAGAGGCCCCAGGTGAGTAGGGGGTCCTGAAGAGAGGCTGCTGGAAGGACCCATGTCAAAAGCCCCAAATCACCGATTCTCGCTGTGAATTCACCAGGGTCTGGTGCTCCAGGCCTTTCCCGGGTGGACAGAGTTCAGTGGTGCTTGTACAAAGTGCCATGTCCTCATCTGGAACCCAGGCAAATGGCACCTGCCCTGCACACTTGAACAGGGTGGTTGTGAGGTTCACATAAAATCCTGTAAGGGGGCTCGGTAACCCATGAGACACTGTACTTAGAAAGTGTAGGTTCTTGTCAGTATGGCTAACACTGACCCCAGTGCTGAAAGTGTTCTAAGTCCAGGTGATGGCCCCAGGAGGCCGTGGTCTCCTGGCTAACCAGGGACCCAAAACCGTAGGAAAAAGCAGGTAAGTTGACCAGCAAAGATGCCCTTTGTTGATCTGAGAAGATATTGATGATCTCTGTTCATTTTAGAAGCTTCTCTCTTTTCCATACATTATTCCTGCACCCCCCCCCCATCTCCCCCACCTCAGCTCCTGGTGCTTGAGAGGCAGTCGCAGCGAGCTGAGTCATGCTACCTCCTGCAGGCAGCCTGGCCCCTGCTGGCTTGTTTCACCAAACAACTGCCCAGATCCAGATCTCTGACTGAAATGCCGTGGGTTGACAGACAGGCTCTTGTCTGATCAAACCCGATGCCTCCCCCAAACGAAAAAGTCTCCATGACACAAAGCAAGATTTTGGGTCCTAAAAACAGGAGGCCCTAGAAAGAAGCAAGTGATTCACGGACTCTTCTGGGCTGAAGAAGCTTGATTTCCATTGAGCAACAGATGTCTGCTTTGCTCTTCTGAAGTTTTCGAACCCAGCTCCACGTTACGTATGGAATCTTAAAAGATGCTCGGGACATAATTCAGAGAAGAGGGTTGAGTTTGGATAGACTGGGAGGGGGAAGACAGAGCAGAGGGAGCAAGACCAGGGCGCTGGAGACTGTCCCTCTGCATCAGGCCCTGGGCGCCTCAGGGACATGGACGCCCCTGGATAGTTCTCAACCTGGCAGTGTGGCTATTCCCATTTCTAGAAAGAAATGAAAGTACTTTCCAAAGTATCAAGGCCACGTGGATCAGGAAAGGCTAAAGGGTCGTGTTTTGTTTTTGTTTTGTTTTACCTTGTAAATGGCGTCTCCACCCAGTGCAATGGGAGGATTATCCTTGACTTGTCCCCCCCCCCCCCCCCGCCACCACCACCTCTCCCAACACCAAGTCTGGTCAAGTTCGTCTTCCAGATCTCTTCCAAATACATGATTCACTTCTCTCCATCACCACTGCTGTCTTCAAATCTAAGTCGCCATTATTTCTCGACCAGTTCACGTAACAGCGTCCCCCTCACTCTGTCTTGGGGTGTCTGTCACAGTCACTGGGAGCTTGGAAAAGCCCAGGTCCAGCCATGTCACTCCTGTGCTCCGTCCAGGGCCTTCCAGACGAGGGCCAAGTCCTAGGGGGAGAACCCGCCGCCCACTCTTGCCCATCTGGCCCCTGCTTCCCTTCCCAACCTCATTTTTGCTCTTTCCCGTTCTCTGAACGCACCATGTTTTGTGTGCCATGTCACTCTTAAGGCTTTTCCAAGTCCTCTTTCCTCTGTCCAAGCCTCTCTCCATCTCCCGGCTCGCTCCCATCCTTTCTTCCAGTCCCAATCTTTGGACCTCAGTTCTTCAGAAACCAGCCCTCATGTCCCCGCACCCCACCCCCGATGCAGAGATGCACGCACACGCATGGAGTCGGGCCTCAGAGCACCCTGTGTTTGCTCAGGACGCCTGTCGTGTTTGTCATTGTCATCTGTCTTCCCCGCCAGGTACCGAGGCCCGTCAGGACAAGGATCTGGTGCCGATGGTCACTGCCATGCCCAGCATAGAACGGGTGCATGGCAGGGGAACAGGTAACCTGCTGAAAGAGCCCTCAGCCCTTACCATTCCAGCAGCCAGCTGCCCCTTCCTCACGTCTGTGTCAGAGAGGTAGGGTGTGGGGACCCGTGAGAAGAACTCAGGAGAGGGGCAGGGGCAACTAGCAGGTGGAGAGGTCAAGCTGGTGTAGATGTTGACCAGGGTTAAAAGGTTGACCCCTGGGATTCCATGTTTAATATAAAACATCAACTCTAGTAACTTAGGTTGTAGCTATAAGAACAATCTCTTACTGGCATTTAAAAGCCTTTCATCTTAGATGTGAATGTGATTATTCTCTAGGACACAGTTTACCTTTTTTATATGTGAAGATCTGAATTTAGCCTTGTGTAGGTTGGTGTGATGGCACTTGTCCTAAATTTCAGTAAGTGTGCCTTTTACCTTTTTATTTCAGAAAATCTCCAGCATACACAGAAGTAGAGGGGATAGTACAAGGAGCCCCCACTTACTCATCATCCACGTTAACAACTACCAACTCGGGGCCAATTTTGTTTCGTATGTACCTCACCCCCGCCCCCATTGTTTTGAAGCAAGTCCCATATGGGTTTCATTTGTTAATAGTAAATGTGCTTTTTGGTACCATTTACAGAAGTGCATACATGCCTCTGTTGTTGGCCATTTAAAGACTCCTGAAGGCTTTGTCAAAAGCTACAAAGTCACAGTTAATAAGAAATCTGAGGACTGGGGAAGTTCTTATTGATCAGATTTTCTGTTTCACAGAATCATTAGCTAGAAAACCCTTATTGTTTAAAGAGGGAAGAGCTTTCTAAGATAAGAGTCTACTTTCCTGCCTTAATGGGTATGGTGCAGCAAACAATCTAATCTCTTGATCTAGTCTGACTGATTTTCTTTCCTGGGGGACGAGACCAAGCAGCGCTGGCTGGGTTCCATTACAGACTTGTGGTGGGAGTGGGGCCTGCATGAGCAGGAGGTCCTTCCCACCTGCCCCCTCACCTGTCTGGCATCCCGAGTCCCCAGCCCACCCATCAGTGCCACCGAATGACCTCCACCGGGATATGCATAAGCTGCTTGCGTTCCGTGCCTCTTATCCCACACCTGCCTGGGGGTTGCCCAGCTACGCCTTCTTTCCTCCGGTCTTTGATCAAGAAGCATGTGCTGCAGGCCAAATTCGAACTCAGCTCAGGGAACACCGCAGTGCCACAAAATCTGTCTTGATAACTGAATGATGGGGGTCAGCGCGGGGTGCCATGAGGTCATGAAGGCGTGCCAGGAACCAGTCCTGGGAGGCGCTGGGAACGTCCCCGTGGTAGGTGGTGCCTGAGCCGGGAGCCCAAGGGACAAGCAGAGTTCTCTGGGCAAAGGGGCAGAACCCTCAGGGAAGAAGAGCAGGCTCTACAGGAGGCAAGCTCCACCAAGGCTGACACCTCCCCCTCTCCCTGCTGGGGCTTTTTCTCCTTATCTCTTCTGCCTCACCGTTTTCTCCTTTTCCAGTTGACTCACTTCTCTCTAAGCACCGGTTTCTCTTCCTCACGTCTCTCTGCTTCTAACCACCATTTCTTTAACTTCAATTTCCCCTGCCTGGGGTCTGTTCATCCCCGAATATTCTGCATCTCGCTACATGGCGTTGCCAGCCTCCCAATTGCTCAAGCCAATACTTTAGACGTCCCCCTTGGGTTCTTCCGTCCCTTCACATCCCACCTTTAATCTGTCGGTGAATCCTATCAGCGATCCCTCCAGAATAATCACAGGTCCATTCCCCACCCCCACTGCCACCACCTGGAGGGCACACCATATTCTCCATGTTCCACTTCTTGCTGCTTGTCACCAATTCTTCACAGAGCTGGAGTGACCTTACTAAGACACTTATGACACGTTGTGTCCTTCCCCTGCTCAAACTTCCAATGGCTTCCTGTGGCATTTAGAATAAAGTCCAAACTCCTCGCTATCTGGGTCCTGACTGCCTTGGGCGAGTGACAACCTTTCTGGGCCTGAAAGTCCTCATCTAGAAAACGTGGATAAAAATCACACTCACCCTGGGACGCCTGGGTGGCTCAGTCAGTTAAACGTCTGCCTTCAGCTCAGATCATGATCCCAGGATCCTGGGATCGAGTCCCACAGCAGGCTCTCTACTCAACGGGGAGCCTGCTTCTCCCCCCTGCTTGTGCTCTCTCTCTCTCTCTCAAATAAATAAATAAAATCTTAAAAAAAAAAAAATCACACCTACCCCGCTGGGTTGCTGAAGGATTAAGCAAGCCAGGCTTACAATAAGCACCTGTAACGTGAGCTGCTTTTGCTAATCTTCATCTCTCTTCCCCGAATTCTGCCCCCATTCCCAACATTGCACCCTTTTCCATTCTCTTGGGTTTTATCCGTGCTAGCACAAAGGCCGTCCTCCTTTTTAATACCCTGGGGTCATTCTGATTCTCCCTGCCGCACAGCATCTTGCCTGCTCCCTTTCATTCACCAAGTCTTGTGTTGTGAAATCTTTCTGCGAAACGTCCCAAGTGGGGTCCCATTCGGGGCCGCGGAACAGCTGGTATGGGTCAGAGTTGAGAAATATCCCAACAGAATCTTCCTAGCTTACACAGGTCTCCAAAGTTCAGGAAATAGCATTTAGCTTCCTAACACTCATCCCTTTTTCAAACACCTGCCCTCCTCCCAGCACTTCAGAACTTCCTGTTCTAGAATGAAGTCCCCAGTCCCTAGCATGTCCTTCAGTAGGGCCCTGACTCCACCTCCCATCCCTGCCCGTATCACAGCACAGCTTCCAGGCTCGATGCACGCCCTGTGGTTACGAGCTGCTTCCCTCTGCCTCACCAACATCCCCTGCCCCCGGAAGGCCTTGTGCTCTGTCCCTCTCTGTGGCCTGCCCTGGCCCACCCCACTTCGGGCTTTGAACTGCCACCAGTGTTCCACTTGTCACTTCTGCCACATGCCACCTTCTCT